AGGATCCTTGCTTGCATGTGAACGTCAGTACATGTGTATACGATTTTGATAACCGACATGGTTGGCTAACAGGTACTTCAAAGAGGGCTGCTTGTAGGTTATTCTGTTACTTCGGTGCTTGTGTTGTTCTTGTGCGCCTGGATTGCCTTCTTCTATCTTGTGGGAAGCCTTGGAAAGCTACATTGATAGTCGCTGCAACAGGTCTCGAAATGGTGCTTTAGACTTTTTGCACATATTGCCTTATATGAGTTAGCTGTGCAGCGTACCGAGACCTCCCACCAGGTGAAAGAAGGCAGTAAGTGGGGCTGGATATATGCGTTCCGAATAGAACAGAGCAAGTGGACCTGAGCATGGCTCGCAGACCAGCCCACGAACACAAGAACCAGACAAATCCTAAAGTCACCGCCGACCGTCAGGTAGGCGCGTAATCGAAGCATTACACTACCCCTCTCTTCTTTTGACCGACGCTCTCGGCGCCCCCCTTGGTACGCTGTCCGCCTTTTCCCTGTGAGGACAACATACCTGCATTAATTATATTGTCCGGGTTAAGCAACCTAGCAAACTCACCTAATCTACCACGGCCAGCAGTAATGCAAATTTGTACGCCGACTGGTTTGCCCTCTTATTTAACTGATTTGTGTATATTTCTTAAATACTACGCCTTCTTGTATCTTTAAGGGAGCCTTCAAACTTTGTACAGAACTTAGCCCCTGTCAGAGGGCCGGTATCATCCTCCCAACACGAGAATTACACTTGGAGACAGTCCAACTTGGAAAAGGTTCATTATAAAAATCATGTAATGCTGACATTAAGCGGATATTTGGTCGATTAAATAGTTTAGAAGTCACATTTTTTTCGCTTTTACAAAACGCTATGCAAAACTACGATTTAACGTCTGCTTCAATATATATAACTTGTGATAATAGGTATCATTCTAAGTCAAGCTTAACTAACGTGCTCTACATAACAAAAAGGATGTTTAAGATAATTTTAAGATCCCTTGAGTACTGTGTCAGCGTTGAACATGTAGTAATCACGTCGTGGATACCATGCGCATTTTTTAATCGGTCTACCTCCTTGTAACCTTTATTTAAATCGACACTTGCGCTAGTTCTAGTTCTTGATTGGTTAATATATATCGAAGTGTAGTACCGCGTTCCTGGGTCGTTTCTTCTATCTCCCATCTTGACTAACGTCATGGAGTCGTCCGCTGAGAAAATGTAGTGAAATTCATTCTTTTTGCTAGGTTTTCTTTAGATCTTTAGGCGGCAATGGTTATGAAGAGTCCTTCGGCATCCACTCATCTACCGTCGATATTATCGCCAGTTCTGCTAGCGCTATTAGTGCAAACGCTGAAAGGTCTAGCAGTTCTGTAAATTTACGTGACTTAATTCCTATCATTCTAGTTAATGGTCGCACCGTTGGTATCGTATGATTGGGATTACAAGTACTACCCGACAAAACTGTTGTCAAGCCATGCGGCGTCAGGGAATATCGCATGGTTTATTAAAGGTGGTTCGTGGATTGCACTAGCTTATCCGTTTTAGGTCAGCCAAAAGCGTTGGTGCGAATAACGCACAGTGAAACACGAGTCAGGTCTCTCCTTAAGAACTTTGACAGTGACTTTCTTACACTAGACTTCTCCTCTTATGCTGTACCAATATTAGCTGTATTAAGTTTTGACGGGACGCTACATGTGTATCACGTAAGGTCATGTTGCTTAACATGTTTGCGTTCCAGATTAATCATGTTGATGCTGTGAATAACTTCTTGATATCCATTAGTCTCAACGAAAATGGTTCCACCCCTACCCACTGTTTTCTTAAATGGGGACCAAAGGCAGCGATACCAGAAGAGCACAAGGACCCTTCTCTGCTCTTAGCAGTGGCCTTGGACAGAGAGGTGAGTTCTTCGGTCTCCATCACTTTTACACAGCTGTTTAGGCATACATCATCGATTTAAATGGGGTTGTTGAGCAATTATCCTCTGTCCCTATCGACTTCCACACAGCGTCAGTTCAGTATCACTCCTGTTCGCGTCTCTTAAGCAAAATTATGGTACAGCTCTCCACTTACGGCAGCAATATTGAGGCAATGGATTTCACTGCCGATGCATCGACTATCTTTGTTAGTGTGAGTATTGGACAAATACTCATGTTCAAAATATCCAATATTGAATCGGGACTCTTCAGGTAAGCCAGAAGATTTGAACTATTGCGAACCTTTTAGCCCCTATCGCAAATTGACAACGCTTGGGGCCTCTCCATTGTCTGCTCTCCATTACGTGAACAATAAGAGGTAGTTGAGGATTCGATATTCTATCAGTACAAGTTTGAACGCTGGTCTAACACCCATCGTTCTACCAACGTTTATCGTAGCCTGTTGGCTCCGCTAGGGTACCTGATAGGAGGAACGGATTTCAATCGACAGTTACTTCTCTGGCGTCTGCCCGATTTCTCTTTGGTCCAGACCATCCGATTTTGCCCTCGTGAGGAACGAGAGCAGGAGGACGGCGAAAAAACGAAGCCCTCTCCTCAACCCATGCTTATCACCTCTTTCAGTGTGACAGCTAATCTTCTTTTGGCTAGTGATATAAAACGCAGGGTTAGTTCTTTTCTGTTTCCTAGTCGAATCCTACAAATCGCCTTTAGTTAATATTAAGAGTTTAGATATAGTGTCCGACTTCAAGGAACCGATAATTTTTTACGTTTACTGATGTTTTAATAAAGCTACGCATGTACTCCTATTTCATTCTGATTGAATTGTGTTATTCTTCGACTCCTTTGAACCTGTTTGGTGCAGGTGTAACTTCTTTCGTTTTCTATCCACTTCCGTATTGGTGCATTTTTTTAGATTCAAACGAATCCTAATGTCATACGTTTGCTCCTTAGCTGGAATCTTACCAAATATTTGCATAGCTAGGAATAACTCAGTTCTGCATATATCGGTCTAAAAAGAACGGAATTCAAAGCATCGAAACACCGGTGTTTGGCTAGCCTACCCAGTTGGTGTAAGACGTTTGAAACTTCACCAGCGTCAATGATACGGTACCATGGCCTACCTCCATACAGACCATCGCATGTCGTGCTATGTCACGTGCTATTTCGAATCAGCGTCGATCAATGACGGGTCTTCCTGTTCCCCACTTTGTATTGTGGTGTGTGCGCTCATTTTCTCCCACCTCAGACAATGCCGGGCAAATCGCAGCGTGGGAAAGTCATCACGAATACATGTACTTGTGGCCTCCTTGGTAGTGAGCACGGTAATAATTCCAACCGCGGCCGAACTTCCACCCGAACGCGTGAGCGTTCATTGCTCAGATGTCGTCGCTCAACCTCGAGGGCTCAGGCCTCTCTCTCAGGCCATAAGAGCATCACACCAGTCGGTCATAAATCATATGTGGTTCCGCTAAGGAAGGGAGGTAGGACCGTAAGAGCTAGGCAGGCATCTACTACTGTGGCCGCCAAGCGTCGACGACAACAAAGAAATACGAAATCGACAGTTCCGGCAGCTGAATCTTCCTTAAAAGTTGTAGAGAAGGAGGAGGGGAAGGGGAAACATGCTTTGGAGGAGTCACAGAAGTCTGAAACACAGCTGTTAAAGAATCAGTCTTCTATTGATACTTTACCCGAGCCTTCTCCTTGCTCTAACGAGAGCAATGCAGTTATCGATGAATGAGCAAATTCATGCATACATATACACCTGTGTTTGTGCCACTAAAATAAAGCCATACGTATCTAATTTAGATTATTCTTTGAGGGTATCGAGTGGCCTCGGCTATTTGACGAGTTGATGATTAAATATGGTGATTTTCCTTTGATAGATTTCATGCGAAGCTTAGACCTTGATTTATCTCTTTCCAAGGTCCTCTATGCGCTGCATTTATTCAGGAATCCTGATAGTCCAGAAGACGTACAGTTCCGATGTGTGAGTGAGTTTCTTCTCGCCAGTCCTTGCATCGCATTCGATGTCAGTCGGGTTTCACGCTCGCTTTCCCTGGACCGTCGTAAGTAGTAATTACGATCTTAGCCCCTTTTTGTAAACAAAGAAAAAACAAACAATAATAAGAAGCTAAACTGAATTGCGACGTCATTTTCTACCTGTGCGTGTTTTTGTGTGCTTATGTATAACGAGTTTCCTACCATTCAACTTCGTTCAAACGCCTTGGCTACAGGTTCATTGGCTAGAGCTTCTGGTTCCCCGCTTTGCATGCCGCCTAATTGGTTTATGTCACCTTTCATTTTCTCTGGGCTTGTTTAAACAAGCGCTTTTATGCAAACTTTTAAAAATTTCCATCTTGCAAGCCTCCACCTTTCTGCTTTACAGCCCTCGCGGCCTACGAATCGGAGGACGGTGATTGCATTGAAGCTGTATTAAATCTGATTCATCCCAGGTAGGTGCTTATAGTCGCCTTCATATTCTATGCATTTTTGCAGAGAGCTGAAGACAGGAAAGCTGAGTTTCTTTGTTCCTTTGAGCATCTACATGCAGCGTGATCAAGGTAAGTTTAGATTTCATCCTTTCTGCCTACCTAACAACTACTATAGATGCGAAAGAGGAGCAGCCTACCTCCGAACCCCCGCTGGATAATGATCCTCTATCCACAGTGGGGACGATTGGGGACTGTTCCTCGCCTTTATTGCCTGAGGGGAATAAGAATTCTGCGTAAGCTCTTCCGGCTATTTTCTCCCAGGAGAAGGCGTGAATAATAATCGATTCTACTTCACTAGTTTCTCAAGTCACTTCAATGTTTTTTCGAAAATGTTCAATCGGAGACCAACTTCAGCTTCTTCGCGTCCCTACACTCCACCACCAAACGGAGATGCTCCTTCTGTGCCACCCCCAACTGAGAGTTCGTTTTCTGTAAACTCAAGTGTGTTGTTGTTTTGCTTTACTGACTTGTGCTTCCTTGTTTATCGACCTAAGCTTCGGATTTATTACACTTTAGACACTCCTCGAGCTGCCTC